ACTGAGAGATTGTTTTAACTCCTCAACACCTACGACATCATCTCCAGTAATAATCATGTCATCAACATAAAGAAGTAAAAGAACCATACCTCGAGCAGTCTTACCAATGAACAAAGCTATATCATGTGGGCTGGAAGTAAAACCAAACTCACTCACAGTAGCACTAAACTTTGCATACCAGGCTCGAGGGGATTGCTTCAACCCATATAATGCACGGCGCAATCGACATACCTTGTTTGGAGGATGGTGGAGCTCAGGAGGTGGTTTCATATAAACTTCTTCTTCTAGGTCACCATTAAGAAAAGCATTTTTCACATCCATCTGAAACAATTTCCATCTCCGTATAGCAACGATAGCAAGCAAACTGCGCACAGATGTAAGACGAGCAACTAGAGCAAATGTCTCTTCATAGTCGATTCCATACTCATGTGTAAAACCCTTGGCAACCAAGCGTGCCTTATAACACTCCACAGAACCATCAGATCGCGTTTTGATCTTGTACACCCATTTACAGCCTATTAGAGATTTTTCAGCAGGGATATCAACTAAATGCCATGTACGAGTGTTTTCAAGAGCTTGTAATTCATCTTGCATAGCTTGTTGCCAAAAAGGGTTAGAAGAGGCCTCTTGATAGGATTGAGGCTCATGTAATGAAGTAATAGCAGGAAAACAATGATAATCACGAAGGTAGTTTGGAGGCTTTCTTACCCGAGTAGGATGACTCGAGGATGGGACAACAAGCTCATTTGTAGACGAGGAAGTAGAAGAAGGCTCAAAATTATCTAATGCATTACCAGCAGGCAGATCATCTTCTACAGAACTGGTTGGAGCATGTGGTGAGGCATTGTAGAGCTCATCAGATGTACCTGCATTAGATTCACTGGGAAATAGCTCAATAGAAGGATTAGTAAAAAATGGAGGTTGATGAGAGGATGACACTTTGAAGTTTGACAATGATGAGAACATAGTGTGTTCCCAAAAGACAACATGACGTGAAACTCGGAGTTTTTGTGACACAGGATCCCAACAACAATATCCTTTTTGTGTAATCACATAACCCAAAAAACAGCATAATCGAGCTCTAGGTTCTAACTTGTTATGTTCATGAGGTGGAAGAAGAACAAAACATGCACAACCAAAAACCTTAAGAAGATTATAAGCAGGAAGAATACCATGTAGACGCTCATATAGAGACTGGTTATTAAGGACTGATGATGGAATGCGATTAATAAGATAAGTAGCTGTAAGAGCAGCCTAACCCCAAAATCGCTCTGGACAAGAGGATGAAATGAGCAGAGCACGAACAGAATCAAGGATGTGTCTGTGTTTGCGTTCGGCTCGCCCATTTTGTTCAGAAGTATAAGGACAAGATTGTGGTGGCAGTGTACCCTGTTCTTTCAAAAAAGATTGAAGTTTAGTACCAAGATATTCACTAGCATTGTCAGTTCTCAAAACTTTGATAATTTTAGAGAACTGGGTTTTGACCATGGTAGCAAAATCAATATAAATTTGTGATAATTCAGAGCAACTTTTCATAAGGTATATCCAGGTAAAACGAGTATGATCATCAATAAATAACACGAAGCACCTGGAACCCCCCATGGTGGGTGTAGGAGATGGACCCCAAACATTAGA